GTAATTTTCCACATCATAATAATAACAATATTAATAATAATGATAACAACAAAAAATTGATCTGATTTTTATCAGACGCCATCACTAACGAAGCTACAAAACGCGCGAAGAGAAATGAAACAGCCGAACAAAAAAATAAACACGCCTGGCCATCCATACATAATACATATATATATATATATATATATATATACATATATATATATACATATATATATTTATTGTATTTCCTAACTTTGGTATCTATTAACATCTCTTACACGCGTACACAGAAAAACAGAATCACATACTTATTTACAAGTAGTTAGAGTAATAAATCTGAATGTTTAGAAAAAGAAAAAAAAACTTAACTATATTTAAAACACCATGCCTTTCAAGATTAAAAACAAAACAAAAAAGCTCTCTCTTTAAAAAACCGTGTTTTTGTTTTTGCTTTTTTTTTCATTAACAAATCTATCGCACTCGAAATTATTTTTATTGTTAGATCGAGCAAAACAAGATTGGTTATTATGTAAATATGTGAAAAGGAGGAACCGGTTTAATTAAATCGAATCAGATATTAAAAATTTAATACTATGACCTTATAGTGGAAGTGGTTCGAAAAAATGATCCGAGCTGAAACATTTTTAATGGCGCCGGTGCTTGGATAAAAACACGTCAGTAATGCAAATCTCATCAAAATATCTCGCGAATTGCGGTTTGCAGATTGCGCGCAAAAAAACAAGGCGGACAGAGGGACAGAAAACTTAAATCTATTGAGAAAGTGTGACCATCCCCCGTTTTTGTTGTGTTCAATCTACAGGCCACAACCGCATATCGTCATATCCCAAATCCTTCTGGGTTCAAACTGGATATAGATTTGCACCGCAACAACAATTGTTAAAATCTTATCCATAATGCATTGAAGCCTTTATGATTTGAAGGAGAACATGTTGTCCAAAATGTTGCATCAAAAATCGATTAAATCTAACCAAACAAAAAGATCCGATACACTTCACTGGGGAATGTCAATACAAAGCGAAAGCTAAAATCATTCAATTGTGAATTGATTTGAAAGAAATGATAGCAAATCTTGATGTCATGCTATGGAGCGGTTTTGCTGGCAAAAATGGGCTAGAAAACAACAAATAAAGAATTCGATCCATACTTGAATTTATACATATATATCTACATGATGGATGCCGACGGCGAAACAGATGAATTGCAGCTTAATGTGTAATTAAAGCGACGGAACCATAATAACCCTTATCTTTTAGCTTAAAGTGGAATTTATTTGAAACAATAGGTACCAGAATAACGTACTTATACTTGACTTAAGTTTCAAGATACTTCTCTAGGCCTCGCTTAACGTTTCTTAAGGACTTACGCCACGAATAGTAATGTTTGAAACCGCAGCCATTCTCTGACGACCTCCTCTTCAGCTCTCTGACAGGTTCTTTGGCACGCAATCTAATTGGGCCAAACAAATATTGATTTTTTTGTGATTTACAATCGTTTGAATGAAAAAGTTCAATTTTAGACCGAAAAAGAGCTACTATTTCTTTTATTAAAATGCTTAGATTAGCTTATTACAATTAGCTTATGCCATTGTTTAGAGCTGTTTTAAAGATCGTGTGAAAGACTCGAAAGTAAATAATGAAATTGTTGAGTTCTGCTGGGCGCCGTTTCCAAACCCCGTGTACCGAGAAAAGCGCATTTAAAGTTTCAAGTACCCGTCTACTGCGAAAAAATGATATTTGAAAACTCACACTATGCCCACAATTACTTTTTTACGCCATTCCCAACTGTTTAAGACATCATTTAAGCCAATAAAGAAACATATTTTGAAAAATCTGCAGTGACATTGCTCGAAACCAACTGCTTTCCACAAAGTTTTCATTGGATTTTTAAGAAGTGGGAAAACCAGGCGTGTCTACCCCTGACAAATACAAGACTCAATCAAAAGTATTATTAGAACGTCTTATCAAAATGGAATTGTGAATGTGGAATACTTTGTTACTTCACTTACAAGCCAAAGTCTAACCAAGTCTTCGAAGCACTTTTTCAACCATTTTCCGATACGATGTCATAAGTCCCTTTTTCGTTTTTCATAATTTTCATTTTTAGGAGAGAAGACAATCTATCTATATACGTATACAAACATATAAATACGTACACTTCTGCTGCTTAGTAGTAATTTTTTGTCATAAAAGTATAGGGAATTTTTAAAGATACTTTCAACTCAAGCCGCCTTTCACGACATGCAAATTTAATCTTGATGAAAAGAAAAAGACATCACGACGTACATGGTGAATAGCCTGCTTAATCGCTGACTATGCAATAATTCAGCCGATATCTGCGAGAAGTATACCCGAGGCGTAGGAGCCCGTGACAGAGCATAGGCCGCTCAACATAATTCGTTAAACTCTTTCTCGATAATTGACCCATTTGGTTTCAGTTCGGCAGGATTTTTGTACGCTTCCTCATATTAACTCAAACTTTTATTAACACCTTAACATGGAGAAACTCGTGCCACATTCGGATCACTTTTATAATTTTTATACCGTACACCACTTGTTATACTTGGGTATATAAAATTATTTCGGAGGAAGACGTGGGATTTTATTATTTACATTTCGAAAAACTTTCTTAATCAATCTAAGCTTCTATCTTTGCCCGTCCGCCCGTCTTGTTTTCTTCGCTTGAACCTACAGGTGATATTGAGATATTTTAATGGAACTGGCTGCACTCGCAGGTTTTGGACCAAGAACGATTGCTATTGAAAATGGTTCGGAGCGGAGGGAGCACTTTTTCGACCACTTGCTTGTTTCGAAA